TTTAATTACATTCCTTGGGTCGAAAAATTAAGGGTATTTCCATTTTTAATCTTATAAATAATGCTGTGATTTTCTTGAACATAAATTTTAAAACCCTGCCATTATATTGTTTATCTCAGATTATTGACTCAGTATACAGATTGGGTAAGTATGGGTAAAGCATACAAACTTGACACACACCTTTCCTGATTTCATTTTTTAGACTTGTTTTTGCGATTGAGGTGAAGGTTTGCAGATGATCTGCTCTGGTAGTTCAGTGGGTTATGCATTGGGTTGTTAACCACAAGATCAGCCGTTCAAAACTACCAGCCACTGTGAGGGAGAAAGATGAGGCTTTCTGTTCCAGTAATAATTTACAGCCTTGGAAGCCCAAACCTACTCTGTCCTAAAGAGTTGGAATTGACTCGATGGCAGTGGATTTTTCTCATGATATTTGTCTTTAGTGATTGGCTAATTTTACTCAGCAGAGGTCCTCCTGGTCTTTTCTTGATATTAAATGATACAATATCTCTTTGTTCTGTTCACATAACTGCCTCTTGGAACATATACAGGTTCCACATGAGCACAATGGTGTATCCCGGAATTCCAATTCTTTGCAATGTTTTCCATAATTTGTTATGATCTACACTGTTGAATGCTTATGTATAGTTAATGAAACACAAGCACACCTCTTTCTGGTAGTCCCTGCCTTCAACCAAGTTCCATCAGAAATCAGCAATGATCTCCCTTGTTCCACATCCTCTTCTGAATCCGACCTTATCTGGCAGCAAGCACCATGTAAATGTACTGCTGTAACCATTGTTGGATTATCTTCATCAAAAGTTTGCCTGTATGTGATATTATGATAATGTTCAGCAGTTTCTGCATTCTGTTGTGTCAACTTCCTTGGAATGAGCACAAATATAGATCTCTTCCAGTCAGTTGGCCAGATAGCTGTCTTACAAAATTCTTGGCAGAGATGAGTGTTTGCAGCATTACAAAGGTTTTTTTAAACATTCCAATAATATTCGGTCAATTCTAGGAGCCTTGTTTTACACTTATGGCTCCAGTGCACCTTGGACTTCTTCCTTCAATTCTAATAGTGCTTTATCATAGGCTACCTATTTAAACATTTGGTACAGTGACTCTATGTATTCCTCCCATTTTCTTTGGGTGCTTCCTGCATCATTCGCTATTTTGCCTTTCGTGATCTCATGCAATTGAATCCTTCAATATTGCTATTTAATGCTTGAGTTTTTTCTTCCATTCTTTCAGCTTGAGATATGCTGAGGGTATTTTCCTTTGATTTTCTTATTTAAAAAAAATCATTTTATTGCGGGGTTGTACAACTCTTATCACAATCCATCCATCCATCCATCCATTGTGTCAAGCACATTTGTATGTTTATTGCCATCATCATTCTCAAAACATTCTCTCTCTGATTGAGCCCTTGGTATCAGCTCCTCATTTTCTCCCCTTCCTCCCCCACCGCCCCTCCCTCATGAACCCTTGATAATTTATAATTATTTTTTCATGTCTTACACTGTCCGATGTCTCCCTTCACCCACTTTTCTGTTGTCCATCCCCAGGGAGGTGGTTATATGTAGATCATTGTGATCAATTCCCCTTTTCTCCCCCACCTTCCCCTTTCCCTCCTGGTATGACTATTCTCAGTATTGATCCTGAGGGGTTTATCTGTCCTGGATGCTCTGTGTTTCCAGCTCTGATCTGTACCAGTGTACAACCTCTGATCTAGCTGGATTTGTAAGGTAGAATTGGGATCATGATAGTGAGGGGGAGGGGAAGGGCGGAAGCTTTACAGAACTAGAGGAAAGTTGTATGTGCTATACTTCACCCTGACTGCCTCATC